TTTAAATTACAATTTTCTTAATTTAAAACAACTGGAAATTATGTAGTACCGAAATGGCAGTTCAATGGTGCTAACTCTTCCTTGACTGTAACCGACTCCCGAATCCGACACATTTTTTGTAAGACACAGATCAGGTAAGAAATAAGGTATCTGATCAATCCGTTTTATTTTTAAAATAAATGATCGGTGACGACTCAAATCCATATTTTCCAAGTCGAAGCCCAATTTCGGGGCCCAACCGAAAGACAGTTCCGACATATATCATGGTGGATTTTTTAGAAAAAAAAATTATCTTCCACAATAGAATCTGATAAATGAGATTTTGAGTAAGTGTCTACATAATTTTCTTCTGTCCGAAGAAATGATTTATTGAAATAATGAGTCACCATTGATATCAACACATTTGAGATCGTCAAATGTTCATGAGTTCCTCTATTCAATCATTTTCATTCTTCTTATTGACGGATATCTCGTTCGTACACATATTCTCTTTGTTTATGAACTTATAATGAGTTACAAACAGAGTTCGAAAAGGTCCAATCTTTGATGATTCCATCCTACATAATTGAATTGCGAAACTTCTAGATAGGTATTCCTACATTTGAACTGAAGTGAGTACTATTGGTGGACTTAAGACCCATAACTTAAAAAATATGAAAAAAAATAAAAATGAATAGTTTGGTCAACCGACCAAATAAACTAAATTATAATTTATTTTGATAATAAATTATTGATTTTTATAAATTTATGTCCACTAAACTATTCATATGACGTGAAAGAAAGAAATATTTTATATACAAATATATGTTAAAAATTATTCAACACTATTCATGAGTAGAGTAATAAGCAATTTATTAGGAAGTGTCGTATCTTCATTTATTTAATCTAATTTTCTCTTAATATTTTGATATCATCTTTTTCTCTCATTTTAGTTTTGTTTAACTAATGTCAATTTTAATTTTAATGTTAGTTGTCGATCGTCAATAATGAATAGTTATCTTATTTTTTCATGTTATGTCTTTTGTTTATTTTTTGAGTTTTTTTAATTTTGAATAAGAATTTATTTTTTTATAACACGTTTTTCTACGCTCTTGTGTCACACGTTTTCTTGTGGCATGATCCTTATAACTTTGGTGCGTTTTCTCATACTTTTTTCGATCGTTTTGATGCTCGCACAAAAACAATCATGATATTTGTTTTCTTATTGATTTGTAGGGAATCATGTATATTCATATTCATTCTTGGTAAAAAAAAAGTTGTTTATCGATATAATCAGAATTGTATATCAAAACAATCCATCGGGTAATTTAGTACGCTGACCACTCTGATAAGTGTAGAATTTTGCATACTTTGGACATTATTTACTCCTCATTTTTCACTTAGATGTTACTGATTTGTTCCATTTGAGCTTGTTTTTATGTAGAAATTTCATTTGAATTAATCAACCTAGAACCAATAGTTAAAGGCAAAATTTGAACTTTTTTAAGAGTCGTGGCAAGAGTCATGGGCACAACATTATTTGAGTCCAACGTAGAAGATTTCGGTAGTACAATCAGCTTCTTTTAGAAGACGATCCAACATTATCTTAAAGTTAATGTGAAAATTATTCTTAAGATAAATACTTGAAAGAATGTTATCCAAATGAATCAAAATTCAATTAGAACCACAAGATTTAAATAATTATATTTATCTTTCGTGATAAACTTTTATTTTTAAATTTATGATTTTTATTTTAAAGATTTTATATTTATTATTATTATTTATTTAGAAATTGATTATTTTATTTACTTAAAATTCTCGGTATAAATACCCATTTGATTCAATAGTTAAACACAACTTGAAATTTGTATATTCACTGGCTATTTATATAAGAGTATTTTCTTTTACTTTTCTTCTCCATTCATTTTTTATACTTCCAATCTTATACAATTACAAATTACAATTCGACATTCATGAAAGGCGAAAAATAATTTATTAAAAAATATCTGACCTGAAATTTATCCAAACCAGGTAAGATCCGATCTGAATTATATCTTTCAATGATGTGACCCGATCTGAACGAAGATCCAACCTGAAGTCCATCCGAACCTGATATTTAATTGATTTAAACTCGAACCGTTTTGAGCTAAATTGATATCGATCTAAACTGAAATTAGTCTGACTCAAACTTGAACTGAATTTGATTTCAAATCAATATGAGAATGACCCGAATTGATTTGACCCAAATCCGACTTGATTCAAATAAAACCATTAAATTGACCTAACATAAATCGTATCCGATTTAACCTGGCCTAACATATATCCATTATGGAGTCCGAATTTTCTTCACTATTTATTTTTTATTTTGTTAATCGTATTGATCCAAAACCTAGCCTTTCGTTGGCTAGTTCTGTTGTATAATAGCCTTAATATACGACTAAAGATATGTCTTATCAAAAATGTTAATATTTTTTTAACATTTCCGGTAAAACGCTATCTAAAACATTATTTTTTTTACCAGAAATGTAAATTTCGCTATCTAATTTCCGGTAAAAAAAATAACATTTTAGGTAACACCTAAAATTAACATTTCTGGTAGAAAAAGATAATATTTTAGGTAGCTATTTACCGAAATTATTAAAAAAATATTAATATTTTCTGTAACGTTTTTCCTTAATTGTATATTAAGTCTGCCATAACTTAGAGATGCCCTTTCGTTTAAACAGGTATTGGAAGAAGCAGGTTCCTGCATATACCAGATATCATGGTTGTTGAATCACTAGTCTGTCTGCCACCACCAGTCCCAGTCCAGGTGCTTTGGGTTGGGCAAATTCAAATAACTAACCAATAATTTTATTTAATTCATATTCCAATAATTCTACTTTAAGTTTTGCAGACAATCCATGAATAAATTCAAATATTATAGAAAGATATAGTAACTAAAAGGGTGTGTTTGGTTCACAGAATATAAGATTACCAATGGGAATAAAAGATTATAAGAGAATAGGATTACTGGGAATGTTGTATTTTGTGTTTAGTTGATTTAGCAGGAATGTAAGATTACCGTGTTTGGTTAAAGGAATAAAATATTATTGAAATGTATATTTGATCAAATTGTCCTTATTATATATTTGTATAATATTACAAGTTATAAAATATTTATATATTTTCTTTAAAAATTTAAATTCATAATATTTATATAATTTTTTTACAAAATAAAAAAAATAAAAAAGGTTTAATGAAAGGGTAAAATTTTATTTTAACCCCTGAACTTCATATAAAATTTTAATTATAGACTTTTTTGTAAATCTAAAATAATTTAAGGATAAATTTGTAATTTAACCTTCATATAATTTTTATTATTCAATGACAGAAGAAGGATATTTTTGAAAAAAAAATAAAAATTTAAGGGCATTTTAGTCCAAAAAGTCGGTAATGTTACAATACCTAAGGGAATGGAGGTAATGACATTCCTGGTAATATACCCCAAAAAATCCACTATTGGTAATAAAATATTATCGGGAATGACATTCCCGACCAAACCAAACGGGGGAATGTTGATTCCATTTCCGGGAGAATCCCACACTCCCCCATCCAAACGCCCCTTACATTTCCAGTAATGTTTTATTACCAATAGTGAATTTTTTGGGGTATATTACCGAGAATGTCATTACCTCCCTTCCCTTAGGTATTGTAACATTACTGGCTTTTTGGACTAAAATGCCCTTAAATTTTTATTTGTTTTCAAAAATATCATTCTTCTGTCATTGAATAATAAAAATTATACGAAGGTTAAATTACAAATTTATCCTTAAATTATTTTAGATTTACAAAAAAAATCTATAATTAAAATTTATATGAAGTTCAGGGGTTAAAATAAAATTTTACCCTTTCATTAAACCTTTTTTATATTTTTAATTTTGTAAAAAAAATTATATAAATATTATGAATTTAATTTTTTAAAGAAAATATATAAATATTTTACAACTTGTAATATTATACAAATATATAATAAGGACAATTTGGTAAAATATACATTCCAATAATCTTTTATTCCTTTAACCAAACACGATAATCTTATATTCTTGTTAAATCAACCAAACACAAAATACAACATTCCCAGTAATCCTATTCCCTGATAATCTTTTATTCCCACTGGTAATCTTAGATTACGTGAACCAAACACACTCTTAGGGTGTGTTTGGTTGGGGGAATGTGAGATTCCTATGGGAATGGAATCCACATTCCCCAGTTTGGTTGGCCGGAAATATCATTCCCGGTAATCTTACATTACCAATAGTGGATTTTTTTGGGTATATTACTGGGAATGTCATTACCTCCCTTTCCTTAGGTATTATTGGATTACCAGCGTTTTGGACTAAAATGCCCTTAAAATTTTTTTTCGTTAAAAAATATCTTTATTCTGTCATTGAATAATAAAAATTATACGAAGGTTAAATTACAAATTTATCCTTAAACTATTTTAGATTTACAAAAAAATCTATAATTACAATTTTATATGAAGTTCAGGGGTTAAAATAAAATTTTACCCTTTCATTAAACCTTTTTATATTTTTAATTTTGTAAAAAAATTATATAAATTTTATGAATTTAAATTTTTTTAAAAAATATATAAATATTTTCCAATTTGTTAAAAAACAAATATATAATAAGGACAATTTGGTCATATATATACATTTTAATAAATTTTTATTCCTTTAACCAAACACGGTAATCTTATATTCCTGCTAAATCAACCAAACACAAAATACAACATTCTCAGTAATCATATTCTCTGGTAATATTTTATTCCCATTGATAATTTTACATTCAGTGAACCAAACGCACCCTTATAGTATAGAGTAGATGTTTACAGATATTGAAAAAGATGGATAAAGCTTACAATAAATACAAATGACGGCACTAAAATTGGACGTGCATGCGCCACGCCTAGTTTTTTTTCAGTTAAAATTCTAACAACCGTTACTGTAACCCTAACCCTAATTGCCGATTCGCATCCCTCATCCCCCATCGTACCTTTTCGACGTTCGTAGTTTGATCTGTAATTATGCCATGTGAGGTTTAATTCTCCTGTGTATTACGCCAGATCCACGCGATAGATCTAAAGTTTGATCTCTGTGTTCGACGATCGGGTGAAATTTGTGGGTTCTGAGCGGTGGATTCATCTCACAATGTCAAACTTATATGGAGATTATAATCAAAAGATCGATTACGTATTCAAAGTGGTATTGATTGGGGATTCAGCAGTGGGGAAATCTCAGCTGCTGGCTCGTTTCGCCAGGAACGAATTCAATGTGGATTCAAAAGCCACGATTGGTGTTGAATTCCAGACAAAAACCCTAGTCATTGATAACAAGACGGTTAAATCCCAAATTTGGGATACTGCTGGCCAAGAAAGGTACGAGGCTTGCCCCCTCAAATTTTCATTTCTTTTCTTGAGCGAGCTTGCATAGTTGCTATATTTGATGGAAATAGAGAAATAGAGTAGAAAATCTCAAGAACAGGATCAGGTACCCAAATCCTCACGAATTTTCATTTCTTTTCAATCTGGGTCTTTTTTTTTTAATATATACAAAACGATTCCTCACGAATTTATTTGTGCGAAATCCCGAATCTTGAGTTTAATTAAATTGATGAATTAGATACCTGTAGATGTATTCGTGTCTAAAACACGTACCCAAATCCTAGCAACATAGGGTACATGCTCTTTCTGTTTATTTGCATTATCAGTTTCTAGCCAGAATACTATCTTCGTCACCCTTATTCTGCTTCAGGTGTACTCTTTTTCGTCTTTACCGTGGTCATGATCTTTTTTTTTTCAAATGTTATCTTGTTTCAGTTGTAAACTGTAGTTTCGATGTATAGTTCATTTTCCTCCGGTAATGCGCCGGTTAGAAGATATGATTAGAGTAATCCTTTTATGAAGTTTCTTGCAGATAAAAGATATACTTGATGGAAAGATACAAGATTTTATGTCAATGGTGCACTAATAAAATTTCAGAGAAAATGAAAATAGATTTTCAATAGAAAATACAAAGAAAATATCTAAAATATATAGTACTTTGAAATTATCGGACAATCACCCCACTCACCCCTAGGTGAAAAGACCATGAAATGATACTTGAATTGTGATGGAAACATGAAATTTTGGTTTGCATCTAGAAAGTCTTTACTAAAATATGTGTACATCATTTATTTTCTATAGCTATGAGCTATCTGTTTTCTTCCTTCATACCCTCAAGCACTTTTTCATCCACGTCGAAAACCCATTGGGAAGTGTCAAAAGTTCAGACGAAGCAACTCAACATCTGTGCCGGATATTTTGTTCCCTATCCAGTTCAATTAATGAAAACAGTTTTGGTCACTTGCCTACCACCGTTATACCAATATGCTGTTCTTATGTATGTGTTTTGGCACAAGCACATGGGATGAATGTATCATGTATTGGTAGGCATATTTTTCCTTGCATGGATGTTATACACCTTTACCTGTTTGCATGCATGCTTGCTTGAATCTTATCTTAATCTGGCTGTGCATCTCTTGATCTATATATATATATCAGTTTTGCTTGAAAATCAGTGCCTTGAGTGCATGATACATCTCTTGTAGCTTACGGTTCCAATGACAAATCAGGTACAGGGCTGTGACGAGTGCATACTATCGAGGAGCAGTAGGAGCAATGTTAGTTTACGACATGACGAAGCGGCAATCGTTCGACAACATGGCAAGGTGGCTGGAAGAATTGAGGAGACATGCTGATACGAACATCGTGATCATGCTTATTGGGAACAAGTGTGACTTGGCGAACCTGAGAGCAGTACCAACTGAAGATGCACAAGAGTTTGCTCAAAGGGAGAGCCTGTTCTTCACGGAGACATCGGCACTAGAATCAACTAATGTTGAGACGGCATTTTTCACGGTTCTAACACAGATATATCGAATAATCAGCAAGAAAGCACTCACTGCTAATGATGAGTTAGATCCCAATAGCAATGCTGCTCTTCTTAAGGGAACCAGGATTATTGTTCACAATCAGGAGATGCAAACACCTAGTAAAAGTGGCTGCTGCGCATGAGCCCAACAGCCCCATCTGTTTTTTGGCCAAACATTCTGATATGTTAATTTGGGTTCCACTTTTGTAATTCATAAGTGCGGGAGATTGCCCCAAAACTTTTTGAAAATTGAATATATAGAGTTAATATTTGATGTATTATCCATGAACCATCTCAAAAATATGACTTAACAAAAAATAGTTATTTTATTTATTCATCATGATTATTGATTATTTTATACCAAACAAAATAAAAATCAATACAGAAATCATTTTTAAACTCTAATAGCAATATTGCCCTCCCCTAGAATAATGCATTCCATTATCCATTCCAAGCAATCAGATTCTCAATCTAAACAGCCCTAATTGTTCCAAGCAATATCAATGAGGGCCTTTTCATACCGATGGCTTGTTTCTTCATCCTAATAGAAGCACTAAATCAAGTTCCAATATTCTGACTTCTCAAGTATCTTCTAATAGTTTGGCATATACAGTGGACATCCTTCTTTGATCAGCATTTGAATTTTGACAAATCAAAACAATTCTAATAAAATTGCATTTGGTACAACAAATAATCTAACTGAACCTGCATCCTAGGATTCCATAAACCAAAAGTTGTTTCAGCAGACAAATATTTTCATCGCAAATTGATATCGATGCCGTTGAGAATTTCCGATACAGTTCTCATCCTAGGGCGCAACTCCGGGTCCAGTTCTGTGCAATTGAGTGCAATGTGAAATGCAGCAAGCACTGGCTTCTTTGCATGAACTTCTGTTAGAAGTGTTGGGTCTAGGATTTCAGACAGTGGACGATCCTCCCGGAATGCTTTCCTAACATGACCTATCAGTCCCTTCTCATCATTTTCTGGTCCAGAAGCAGGCACCCGACCAGTTAAAATCTCCAATACCACAATTCCAAAGGAGTACACATCACATTTCTGAGTGAACTTGCTACCAGATCCTCGAGCTTCGGGTGCCAGATAATAAGAATTAGGACTTGAAAGTCTTGACCCCACTGAAGAGGTTGCAATGGTTTGAGTTGAGTTCAGCCTTTTGGTTATTGAACTAAAATAGCTCGAAGTCCCAGAGACAAGGCGAGTGAGTCCAAACCCAGAGATGTACGGCTGAAGCTCATTGTCAAGAAGGATTTTTGTTGATTTTAAGTTTCCATGAACATATTTTCTAGGGCTGTATTCATGTATGTACATTAGGCCCCTTGCAATCCCCTGAACAATTCTCAACCTTGAAGCCCAAGAAAGTGGTGGCAAATTATTGGATGGTCCTGCATAGTATAAAATCACAATAAATCAACCATCTTTCTCATCGTTAATTATCATCGATTTTACCATAAACAAAATGAACACGAAAAATGCTAGTTTTGATTGGGATTTATTTCGAAGAGAGACCGGAAGGGAGTTCCATGATTATGGAGTACCGAATTGAAGCAGTTAATCTCTTAACTTTCTGAATTTACATTCAACAACCGAATCACATGCAATCTAATTGCAGAGTTATACCAAACAATCTGCTTAATAATGATATCTTCATGGGATCTCTTGGAGACATGGAGTTCGGATAAAAACAAGGCGATAATTGTGTCAGTGGTCCACATTTTGTTAAATGCCATCAACTAGAAACCCAAAGCATAAAAAACCATGTACTTGTCAGCTATCTTAATGGGGTCCGTTCAATAAATTTTGGTTCAATTTGTATGAAGCAACACATTAGCTGGACCACTATTGTCAGATATGTTCTAAACTTAAATATGCATACTTGTAAATTGTATTACTGTAATGTAATGACATGGACAAAGTACAAAACCAAACATAAATCTCAGTTGGATCAGGAAAAAAACAAGAGAAATATTTTACAGGTGAACCAAGGCCGAGTTAATGCAGGGCCAATGATGACAAACAAACCCTCTAAGAAAATCCGGCATGCAACTTTAAAGAATTAATACCAAAGGCACGTATCAGACTCTCTATACATTGTTTACTTGCGTGTGAGCACCTATAGGATACGACCGGGTAGCACCAATTGTAAAAATTCAATCCTATGTAATTTCCAACTTATGGCCTTAACCGGAAAAACTTAAAAATAATTATTGGAGCAAACAATATCACCTACTTTTCATTGAAGTAGATATAGCAATAAAGCTAAGACAGTGTCATAATAATGTTTTGTTCTTGTCTCCTGTTTATCTAGTGAAAATAAATTAGCATATTTCAAGAAGGACCAACAAACTCCAAGCGAAAGATGAGAGCAAACCCCACCAAACAGTTAGGTAGCTCAAGAATTTAGGTCCTTGAAAACAACTTGAGTCTTCTCCAAGACAGGAGCTGTCTTGAATAAGATAAGTGGGGCAAAATTGTCAGAGCCATTAGTAGCATCAATAAGCAAGAAAATACTAGATTTTTATTCTAATACTAGTCGGTGCAAAGTGCAGAAACTCATGGATGAGGAAAAAGGTAGAAGGCATTGAGAATTTGGTTTCAACAAGTAAATGACTGCAGCTATAATGCTTCTAAACTAACCAATATGCTAAAATATCTGATGTAGTTATCATTGGATTCGACCAGCTACATATAAAGTACAATGATGATCGGACTAGAAAACGAGTACATGCATGTTCTAGACTTTTAGCACTACAGTTGAAAACCAAGAATTTATGTGAATTCAACGAAATTACAGAGAATCTCAGAAACTTTATCATGCATGAAAGCTCCGAAGAACACTACAATTCGATCAAAATCATGGGTTTTTCTTTCCATCAAGATAAATCATGAGCAGAAAATTGAAATTTAAGTAAAAAGATCCAATTCGAATTGTTAGATGATCCTACAGGTTAAAAGTAACACAATGTCATCTATTGCAAGTAAACTCATAGCAAAACATAACCAAGACGGAACTTAAGATTATACTCTAAAAATATATATCGACTTCAGTTTGATGACAAAATATAGTGAGCAGGGATCTTAAAAGGCATTTAGTAAATGGGACTAGGCACCGATTAGTTCAAGGTTGCATGACACAAGAATTAAGAAGAACAAAAGAAGCAATGCAAGGAGACAGCTGTTACTTACCATGTAATGCAGTAAACAAGTTTCCATTACGGATGAAATCAGTGACTAGCAACTTCTCATCATCGGTATAGTAATAAGCTATTAACCTAACAATATTTGGATGACTAAGCTTCCCGATAGCCTCTACTTCAACCTCGAATTCCTTCAACTTCCACGCTGCTTCACCCTCACTCAACCTCCTCACCGCAACAACCGTTGTCCCCGCCGTGCCGGCTCCCCGACAAGCCACCACTTTATACACTATCCCGCTCCTACTCTTCCCCAATACGTAGGCAGTTGCTCTCAACAAATCTTCTAATTCCAAATTAAACCCTTCATCAACAACCACGAATTTACCCTTTTGCCCTTCCTCGTCAGCGTCCTCCGCCTCTCTCTTTTTCTCCGTTTTACCCTCCCCGGTCTTCCATTTTCTCCGAAACAGCCACACAAATACCAAAGCCGCTCCGATTACCACTGAAACGCTTGAGATCAAAGGAACAGCTGCCGACCCATTTTTCTCCTTGCGTCTCTCTCCATTACCATCATAAAAAATGGGGCTAAGACCCTTTGGGTGTTTTGGTTTTTCTTCGGTGTTTAAAACAGCTCTGGGGTTTTGAGCTTCAGGGCAAATATTTTCCAACGGGAACCCACAGAGATTTGGGTTTCCTGAAAACGCGGTGGGGCCTTGGTTTAACAAAGAACCAATTTGAGGCACTTTCCCAGTTAAATTATTGTGCCTCAGATCCAAGCTCAGCCTAAATGGAAACTCACCATAAGAAGCCGGAATTTCATCGGAGAACTTATTGTAAGACAAGTTCAGGGTCCCTGTCAAGCTTTGAAGCTCAACGAGTGACTCTGGGAGAGACCCGCTGAGTGAGTTGGAGGAAAGGTCGAGGTGGGCCAAGTGTTTAAGGGACTTTATTTGTGGAGGAACTGAACCAGAGAATGAGTTATGCGAAAGGTCAATATAGGCAAGGCTTGTAGCGTTGAAGAGAGTACAAGGAATGGACTTAGAGAAGTTGTTTTGAAAGAGACTCAGGCGAGTTAGCGAGCGGAGGAGACCGAGTTCGGATGGGATGTAACCAGTTAACCTTTTACTAGGAAGGAAAATTGAGGTGACTCGATTGAGAGTGCAGGCGATTCCAGGCCAGTAGCATGGGGTTGAGTCAGACTCGTGCCATTTATCAAGGAAGTGAGTTGGGTCGGATTCTACGGCTGTTTTGAGTGATAGAAGAGTGAGACCATCGGAATTGAGAGAGGAAACCACTGAAGTAAAGAAAAGCAGAATGGAAAGTGGATTGAGAATGGGAAATTGCATTTTTCTTTATTCTTTGTGATTCTGGAAATGCCAGTCTTTCATTGGATTGTAATCAAAATTTGGCTTTCGTTGGTGCAAGCAGAAGCACTTGTGGAGCAGAAGCACGTGTGGAGGGAGGAAGAAGAGGACGCGTTTGAAATTGAAAACTTGGGTGGAGCAGGAGAGAGAATTCTCGACGTGGAGAGGCACGTGTAGTTTAAAAAATTGGGTAAAATTACAAAATAATACTTCAAATATATAATTTTTTAAATCCTCTGCTATGTAAACTTAAACATTTATTGACTTAATAAATACTCATAAATTAATTTATTTTTATTAAAAGTTGATAAAAAATATGAAATAGTTCATAAAATAATATAATAATTATTCTAATCACAAATTTTATATTCTGTTATAACTTAAATTTAATTTTGAAAAATTAATTTATCGTTTTTATTAATAAGGCAGTGATAAGAGTAAAATGAAAAGAAAGAAGTTAAAATTATGTTTGAGTATTTTTTTTTGTCATTGATGATTTAAAATTAACAATTTGATTTTTAATATTATGGATTTAATAATAAATCAGTTAGAATATTGATGTAGCGCGTTAATTGATAGGTTTAACACACTAGACTCAATGTCATCTGTTGTGTTCGAACTCAAAATCTTATGAAATAACAATAATTTTTTAATCATTAAAATCGCTTGATTCATAGATAAATTATTTGAAAATTTGAGATCAGTTAAACTCAAACTTTGTCGTTAGTTCCTATTACAACGTTAAAATATTTATTTTAATAATTCCTATTACAATGTTTAATATTTATTTTCATTTTTTATTAAAACTAAATTTCAAATTTATCTTATGTATTATTATAATACCATTAGTTAATTTAAATAATTAATATAACTAATTATTTCTTTTTTTTTGAATTAATCACTGGTATCTGATCTATTGATCGACTAATCCAAATCGGGTACTGCAGAGGCAAGGGTGACCCTCCCAATCCAGTTTGCTCAATTCAAAAATATCAAGGTTCGAACCCCTGACCTTACTTAAGGGACCGAATACCTCATTCCACTATATCAATTGATTATTGGTTATATAACTAATTATTTCGGTTGTAATGTGGACGCAATTTTTTCTTTAAAAATCCTTCCTACACAAAAATTTCATATCAACATGATGCGGAAAATTCATCCTAAACAGTTTAGGGTATAACTGTCTCATTAGTTAATGATCATAGTAGAGGATCACAATTATAATTTGAAGCTTATATGTAGTTGTCTCAAGAAAGACGGACTAATATACGGCGTGATTGGATACATTAAAAGATATTTAATAAAATCGATTTAGCGTTACCGGAAATGTTGAATAATAATAACGTTGTAGTTAGAAATCATGAAGAAATATTAAAAAATTTGACAACCGACAAATTTGTGCCGATACAAATAAAAAATGTATCGATCTATAGCAATATAACAGGTAAAAATATGACAATACCGGTCTCGAAATGACCAGACCAGTAAAGCGCTACTGAATATGTTGAAAGCGTTGATAGTTTAATAGTTTAATATAAGCATCGACACTTTTGGAATTTAAAAGATAAGCAGTAATAGTGCCTATAAAGTGTCGATACTTTATAAAAATGTATCGATCCATAACAATATAACAGGTAAAAATATGATAAAACCGGTCTCAAAATGACAAAACTGGTAAAGAGCTACCGGATATGTTGAAAGTGTCGATACTTTATGACAAGTATCGACACTTTTGGAATTTAAAAGACAAGCAGTAATAGCGCCTATAAAGTGTCGATACTTTATAAAAATGTATCGATCCATAACAATATAACATGTAAAAATATGATAAATCGGTCTCGAAATGACAAAACCGGTAAAGCACTACCAGATATGTTGAAAGTGTCGATACTTTAATAAGTACACGTAATAAATTATCGATAATTTTAAAGAAATAGGTAAATATCCTATCGAAAGTATCGACACCTCACATAAAAGTATAGACACATTGGGTATTGTATCGATTAAATATAAATAACATATCTGGTGAAAATATAAAGGGCATAGTTAAATTTCCTCTAAAAATAGATAGAATATGGACGAGTTTTTGAAATCGAAGCGTAATTGTTGCTGCATTTCAGAAGGCATTTCTAAAGCAAAGTTTGTTTGTTTGTTTGTTGCTGCAGTCAAATCGAAAAGTATGTTGTCGAAACCCTAGGTTTTTATTATTATAGTAATCGGAAATAGGGTTTTTTATATGTTGTTTGGGGTTTTCTAAGTAAAGAAACATTTGAGACCGATTACAGGTAGGAAGTGATATTTTAGGTAAAATATAAATATCGATACTTTTATTAAATATTATAGGTAGAAAATGATATTATAGGTTGTATAAATGTGCCGATACTTGGCATTCATCGGTTATCTTAACATTGTCATCATCAGTATGATCCATGACAAAAATTTTGTTGTGCAAGTTCAGTGGTCTCAACAGGAGTTGATGGAGATGTAAGTAAATGTTCATTGAATAACATGTTTCAGTCGTGCTTTCAGTAGGATGTGGTATTGGAGGATGGGTACAACATTAAATTCGCAGGAGATATTTATGTATGTACAATAACTATAAAATTCAATAACTTTAAAGTAATAGGTAAATTTACAATGTAAATATTAACATTTACAATAGATTTTTTTAATGACAAAATTCGTAAACACAAAGATTTGTTTCCAACGTGGTTCTCAATCATAAAGTTTCCAAAACAGTGTCGATACATTTATTGTAAGTATCAATCCTCAAAACATCGAAACCAATTATTATAAAGTAATAGGTAAAATATATCGGTTTAATGAGAGAACATGAAAACAAAAGTGTCGATACATTTATTAAAAGTATCGATCCCAAAAACATCGAAACATATAATTATAATGTAATAGGTAAATTTCCAATGTAACTGATAGAAATATACCGGTTAATTAGAAAACATATCTACATAATGTATCGACACTTTTTAAATTTGTGTCGATACTTTTTGTCCAGAATGAATGTCAAATGGGGTGCACCCATAAAGTGTCGATACATTTATTAAAAGTATCAATCCCAAAAACATCGAAACATATAATTATAATGTAATAGGTAAATTTTCAATGTAACCAATAGAAGTATACCAATTTTATGAGAGAGTAGATCAACATAATGTATCGACACTTTTTAAATTTATGTCAATACATTTTTTCTAGAATGAACGCCAAACGGGGTGCACGCATAAAGTGTCGATACATTTATTAACAGTATCGATCCCAAAAACATCGAAACTGATAATTACAATGTATTAGGTAAATTTACAATGTACCCGGTAGAGATATACTGATTTTTTGAGAAAATAGGTCTACATAATGTATTAACACTTTTTAAGATTGTGTCGATATTTTTTCCAGAATGAATGTCCAACGAGGTGCACGCATAGAGTGTCGATACATTTAAAATTGTATCAATCCCGAAAATATCGAAACCGATAATTATAATGTAATAGGTAAATTTGTAATGTTACCGGTATAAATATACCGATTTAGTTAAAAAATAGGTTAATATAAGGGCTACCTATTACATTATATAAGCGCTATCTAATAACCGATCTAAATTTTAATCGACCACTTGTTTAATTGGTCACGCCGTTTTTTTAGCCTTTTTAGGTGCCGCACAACAGAAATTCCCGTAAATTCTTTGAAAAATTGGGTTTATCTAAAGTTATATTTTACCATTTTCTTGTTAGCATAGGTAGTATTTGTTATCTCATCCATTTGATATTGAACACTCACACCTCTTACGTTCATGATGTTAAAGCCTGAAATCTCAAGAATAACAATCATTCCTTTACCACCAAGATCACTTGACTCGTGCTTAAAGTTTATCGTTAGTTCCTATACTATTGGCGAGTTGTAGAATTGATCCTTATATTGTAATTTGATTGATTAGTCTTGATCCAAATGATAAAAATACTATGGCTAAAGTATAAGAATTTAGAATCATAAAATTAAAGAACATAGATAAATATACAACTTAAACAAGGTATAGAAACTAGGGTAAATTACGCATTTAGTATCTAAACTATCAATTTTGGTTCATTTTAGTACATAAACTTTAAAAAAATTCAAAATCATAACTAACATTTAGTTTTTGTTTAATTTTAGTACTTGTTGTTAAAAATTTAACGCGTTTAGTACTTAAATTATTAGTTTTGGCATGTTTTAGTACCTAAACTTTCAATTTTTTAAAAACTTAACGTTAAGTTTTTAACGGGAACGAAAATGAAATAAAAATTAAACGTTAGGTGTGATTTTGAAAAAATTAAAAGTTTATGTACTAAAACAGACAAAAACTGATAATTTAGGTACTAAATACATAATTTATTCTAGAAAGGAGTAACAAATTTGACTTATTTAAAATTTAAAAAGTACAATAATTAAATACGATAAAAATAAGATACATGGATAAAATCCTCAGCTTAAATATAATACAAGGACTAATAGAAATCGATTTTTAACTAACGAGGAAGAGTGATGCTGAAATTAGACTGGAACACACCACTTGATCTAGCATGAGAAGCAGTGGATACATCATCGTATCTCGGAACAGGCATCCTGTCCAAAAGATTTGGCAATGGTGCCTCAAAATTAAGAACCAGATTTGCCTGATTCATTGAGGGCCTTAAATTGGGATTTGGATGGGCACACCACAGTCCAACCATGAGCAGTCACTCCATTCGCTTGCCATCGAAACCCGCTTGCAGTTCCTTGTCTGCAACCTCGAGAAGCCTTTGTTTTCCATATAAATCCCAAACCCATTCTACCAATGAAACCCAAGATGATGATGAGTGACTGAGTGAGAGTCGTCTTCGTATCTCGCATCTATTGATCTCCGACCGCATGCGATTTCCAATGTCACAACCCTATAAACATCTGATTCCTTGGTGTCTTTTGCTGATGTAAAACATTCGGGAGCCATATAGCCAATGGTACCGGCTAAAAGAGTTGTCCGAGACCCTTTCGCATGATCCACTA